ACTTCAGGCTGCGAGGAGCAGGCACGGCTGTGCCACTCATTCCCGGTCAAGGTCCGGGGGAGCCGAGCAGCAGGAGGCATTCGTCGGTGCCCGGTGCAGGGAGCTCAGGCTGCGAGGAGCAGGCACGACTCTGCCACTCATTCCCGGTGAATGGTCGCGGAGGCTTCCATCACTTCCTCGGACAGTTTTCAGTTCCGTCAGCATCCACGCCTCCGGTGGACAGCCTCCTCACCTCGGAGGCCGACATGGAACATTTTCGCCCATTCAGCAGTCTCGGACCAGAGGCGTTTCCGGCCACTGACAGTCCTGAAACCATACTGTCGACGTCGAGCGACGACACCGCTCAGCTTCGCCCTGTATTGGCAGGGCCAGTTTTCCAGGTAAGTACCTTGTTTTTTGATTTCTAAATAAACGTTTTGAACACCGGGAGCCCTGGAGACCTGCCTGCCGTGGATATGGAATGGGGTAGAATAGAATGGATTTGTCACTTTTATGTTTTCTTTTCACTGAAAGGCCCCTGAATGTGCTCGCCATAGTGAACTGTGACCACTCGTAGACGTAGAAGCATTGACAAAGAGTACATCGCCGCATGTACCAGAAAAGCGTAAAGTCTTAGCATAGGTAAGAAAGTGAACTGTAGCCTGTTCAGTACGCCCTGTAAGCTACTAAAGAACTTTTCACTGTAGACTCCAACAACAAAATTGTAGGTGGCAGGAAGATGGCCGGGCCGGTGAGAAAGGCTGGCAGGTATGAGTTGGAAAGGCGAATACGATTCGACCGCCCAAGCCAACGATGGCGCGCGAGGCGAACAGACGAGTCGCCGAGCACGGGTCCTCTCAATCGAGTGTTAGGAAGCATCGTACAGCGGAAGAGGACGCCGAGGAGGGACGGGGTAACGAAGAGGCCGAGACAATCAGCGGTCATGGTCCAGGTCAAGAGACGGTGGGTGATGGCGCTACTCAATGGACAATATCTACAACACTGACATTAAATCTCGATTTATGTGAGAGATCGGAGGTATGAGTTTAAGTTTCTCATGAGTTGCAGGTGAAAAACTAAAGTAAAATAAAGTTGGAATGGCATGCTCATGTATAGCCAAGAATTTGCTGAACAAAACATGTTAATTACAAGTTTCTCGCAGCGGCTCATTATAAAGACAAAACAAATATTTTGGGAACAAATTCGGTGTCCTCGAATATAGAAACCTGGACAGCATTCTTCAACGCCAATGGCTGCATCGCAGCCCTCAAACCCTTTCGAAATCACCCAAACGCATCCCCTATGCATCCACTCAACACCATCGCTCCCCTTATCTACAACAAAATCGACACAAAATCAACACGCCAACTGCGCATTCCCGTTCACACGGCTTTACTGGTGCTGCTGGCCCTGCCAAGTTTGCGGAGGCGGCTGGCCGCCCTGCGGCGGCGGCGAGTAATAACCCTGCGGCGGGGGACCGTATTGTTGCGGTGGAGGTCCCTGCTGGTACTGTCCCTGTTGTTGCGGCGGACCCTGCTGATTATTGCCCTGCGGTTTTTGACCATGTTGCTGCTGTGGCGGTCCTTGGCCGCCGTTGGCCATGGCCATGACATCGGGGCGCTTCTCGAGGGGTTGATGAAAGTTGCAGATGCCGCAGACGACATCCTGGTATCCCTTGATGGTGAATGGAATCACGGGCTGGGAATTTATTAGCACTGCACTGGTCACACGGGGGAGAGTTCAGTCGGGCGGCGACGGGTTGACTCACAATATAGCAAATGGTAAAAAAGGGACGCTCCTTTTGCACGCGAGCGCCGTTGTTACCGCAGTGGTGACACTGGGTGACGATGCCCTCGTAGCCCTTGACCTCGGAGCGAAAGGTCTGCTGGCCGCACACAAAGAAAAAGGCCATGACGGCGGCTGTCACAAAAGACTTGATAGTTTTATTTCTCTTTTACGAGGATTCGTGACAAAGCGCAGAGCGGCTCTGTAAAGAGGTTCGCAGACGGCGGTTCGAAGATGACAATGCAGAAACGGGCGATGCAACGACTTTGCGGGATTCGATTCTTCAAGATCGTTCGAGCCAAGCAGTGGGGTGGCGCAGTAGGGGCGGCGCAGTGGTTGGATAAGTGCACGCGTGACCTGAACGATGCGCGAATAGAGCGTTATTTGATCGATATCAGTGTAGAGAAGGGAAAGTTCCAAGATGAATTAATGAACAGCAGTCGAGAAGATGACGCTTTGGAGCTGGCAAGATGTCAACACTGGAGGAGGGTTAGGTCGATTTCAAGCGCCACTGGTGACGCAAGCATACGAGCTTAATTTTGTTTAGCGGCCTCAAATCCCTGGAGAAGCGCCCCTCTTTTCGCGGCTGCCCGCAGGCTGCAAGGCCAGAGCTCCACTTTATTCGATGGCCTGTGGCGCGACCTCTGTCTCCCTGTGGCGCAGCTTAAGCCACTAAAAATAATTCTGCCCAGCTTTTTTTCAATTTGAAGAAATATTGTTGCATTGCCCATTCCAATCTGACATTATTACCAATCTTGGTCGCGTATTACCAGCGGAATCATTCTACGTCGTCTCAAAAAAGGCGTTCCCGAACATTTTACAAGTACACCTGACCAGGGTTTCACTTCTCCCAGTCCCAGCGCGGCACTGCGCAGACCCTCGTACTGAGCGCTTCCCGCGCCAAATCACCCACGATGCTCTACGACCTCAACATTGCGTGGTCGCCCTCGACACCAACAGACAAGCTCCTGGCCACACTCTCCACCGCCTCCAGCCTCGGCTACTCGACTGTCGCCCTCAACCACCAGCTCGAGCTCCCCGTCAACTCCACACCAACCTCACCCTTTCCCACCCTCACACCACCATCCTCCTCCTCCTCCTCCCTCCCCAACATCCTACACCGCGCCACATTCCCCCTCTCCGACCCCTCCGCACCCAACTACCGCCTCAACGCCCTCGCCGCCTCCTACGACATCCTCGCCGTGCGGCCCACCACCGCCGAAGCCTTTCAAAACGCCTGCCTGACGCTCGACGTGCCTCTCATCTCCCTGGACCTCTCCCACCGGTACCCGTTCCACTTTCGGCCCAAGCCGTGCATGGCCGCCGTCGCGCGCGGCGTCCGCTTCGAGGTGTGCTACGCGCAGCTGCTCAACGCGCCCGACGCGCGCGCCCGCGCCGCCTTTATCGGCAACGTGACCAACCTGCTGCGCGCCACGCGCGGCGGCCGCGGCGTCATTCTCAGCAGCGAGGCCCGTACCGCGCTCGGCCTGCGCGCTCCCGCCGACGTTGTCAACCTGCTCGCCGTATGGGGCTTGCCGAGCGACCGGGGGCTCGAGGGTTTGCGCGCGCTGCCGAGGGGCGTCGTCGTGAATGAGGGCCTCAAGCGCACCGGGTTTCGTGGCATCGTCGACATTGTGCAGACGGCGGAGGAGGAGCCGGGCAAGGGCGCCCAAGAGGACAGCGGAATGGATGCCGGTGCGGGTGGTGTATCGTCGGCGGAGGGACGGGCCAAGCAAAAGAATCAGAAGCGCAAGCCGGGGCAGCAGGAAGAGGGGCAGCAGCAGATGAGCAAGCGGCAGGCGAAAAAGTTGCGTCTCGCCAATCGGGCGGCTGCTGGAGCTGCAGAAAAGTCCTCATGATATGTTGCTGGAAAGCGGATTCGACATATGATACCCAAGATTATACGATGTACGATTTCAGAGCGACAGATGAGCTCTCAATTTTTGGTTTTACTATAGAAAAACGGAACCAAAAACATTACTAGATCTAACCCTTGTAGCAATACAACTAATCGGAAAAAGAACCCCCTTCCCCCGGGGAAACATACAAAACGCAACGTGTAGATTTCACCAAAGAACGTTCAATTTAGGCCTGTACTTTTGTGGCTTCAGCTGCGGGCGTTGCCGGAGTATTCAAGTTGCCCAGATCCAGTAGAGTGCTCAGCTTAACCCCGGACAAGTTGATCGGTAGCGGTGGAGGGACTGTCGCCGCTGGCTGCGCCGCAGTAGTACTTGTGGGATCAAGAACGCTGGGCAGCCCCTGCACAGCCGACTCGAGAGGCGCAGCTGCATCCGGTGTCGACGTCTCCGGAGGTGCGTCTGCCGGAGAGCTGGTCGACGTTGACGCTGCTGTACTCGACTCTGCGGCTTCGCTCGACTCTCCGGCTGGCTTCCCAACTTCGTCAGCAGGCGGCGGCGGTATGGGCATGGGTTTGGCGGTTGGATCCGGGATGCCGGGACTGTAAATGGAGATGACTGAGACTCCGACTCCGTTGCCATCCTTGTTTGGCGTGGCTTCGATCACCGTAGGCGAACTCGATGGCGCGACCTAGCACCGCTTGTGAGCCTACATCACTTTGATCTCGCAAAACTGAGCATTACGTACCGCAGTGCCGTCTGTACCAGGGTCGACACCCGGTGCGACCGTGACTGTTGTAGTGACAGTAACCATATGCGTCGCAGCCGCACCCTCCTCCGTGACGGTAACCGTGGAAGCTGACCCCTCTGCAAGCGACGTGATGGTGATGAAGGATATTCGGATACTGTGCGAGGTTAACATGAGAACATATGATAGCACAAGATCTGACATACCCGCCGTCTGTGGGGGGAGGCGCTACAAAAGGCATAGAGGGAGAAGTAATCATCGGGACTGGTGGTTTGCCTTGCACTGGGGTGTCTTCCCGCCCCGGAGTTTCAATCGCGGAAGGCATTGATGGCTGCGATGGCGGAATGGGCGGCTCGATAACGGGCTGCATTGGCGCTTGAGTTACGCCAGGTCCCTGAAAGGAAGGCGTAATGATGAGAGTGATTGTAGTATCAGATCCGCCTGGCAAGAGTGGCTGCTCTGAAGGAATGGGCAACTCTGTGCTAGAGGAGGGATTTTCGACAGGCGGACCTGGCGGCGGACCTGGCGGCGGACCTGGCGGCAGACCTGGCGGCAGACCTGGCGGCTGAGTTGCGCCAGGGTCAATGAAAGTAGGCGTGATGATAGTAGTGATTGTAGTGTCAGATCCGCCTGGCAAGAGTGGCTGCTCTGGAGGAATGGGCAACTCTGTGCTAGAGGAAGGATCTTCGACGGGTGGACCTGGCGGCTGAGTTGCGCCAGGGTCAACAAAAGTAGGCGTGATGTTAGTAGTGATTATAGTGTCAGATCCGCCTGGCAAGAGTGGCTGCACTGGATCGGATCCGCCTGGCAAGGGTGGCTGCATTGGAGGAATGGGCAATCCTGTGCCAGAGGAGGGATCTTGGACGGGCGGATTCGGCGCTCGAGTTGCACCAGGTCCCACGAAAGTAGGTGTGATGATGAGAGAGATTGTGGTGTCGGATCCGTCCACTGGTAATAGTTCAGGTGGCGGTGCCGCGCCGCCCGGGTTATTCGGAGAGCCTGGCGTCAACTCATCTAGTTGGTTCGGGTTGGTTCGTCCCCCGGCTGCCTTTCTGACTTGAACTGGACCAGCAGTGACGAGCTAAATCTGGTTAGCAAGACGTTGACGTTGGGAAAGCGTGCTTCTTCTTACCGAGGCGGCCGAGGCCAGAAGAGCGTAGATAGCGAGCGACTGCATTCTGGAGCCTGGGGCTTGTCCGGGAGAGAATGCTCGCGCCCGCCGACGAGTATTAGATTAAAGTAAGAAGTTGAGAGATGAGACTCTGGTAGTGACTGGGAGAACGGGCCTGCCGTTCATGAGTAGAGGTGTGACTTGGTTCAGGATGCAAGCGAATGAGCATCTGGTGACGCCAAGCGAGCAGGTCGCGAGAAGAGTTGGGCGCGGACGGGTGACTCTTGACTTTTGTTGGAGGGTATAACAAATCTCTGCTTGTAATTCGGGGATTAGCATGAAGCGCGATTAAAACAGAAACGACCAACGCACCCTTTCCCCAATGATGCGAACCAGGGGCGAGGAGAAGGGCGCCATACTTAGCGTAGAAGACAAAGGCCCAGTTAGGGGGCCGCGCATGGAATATTGATGTATTTTCAAAGGGAGATCGTGCTAGATGGGATGAAAAGAGCCATCATCATCCTCATAGCATGGTAGTAGAGAAAAGAGTGAAGAGGGAGGCAGTAGTGGATGGGGATGTCGCGAGAATGGCTCCATGGTTGCGTTTCGACGGGCGAGTGGTGTTTCGCTGCACCAGTCTGCGACGATTTCAATACTCCGGGAACATGTCCGTATTGTGGCTCGCCTCGGAAATTACTTGATGTGTTATAACGATTTCTGCGGCGTTGGAGGCGAAACCCAAGGTCAAACCGAGTTTGGTGGGCAACGCTACTGGCGATGAGACGGATCGTGTTGCAGGATGATGCTAGGGCGGTGGATGGCCAGGGTGGCTTAATTCAGCGTAGAATAGATTTTAGGTTGTTTAAAGAGATTCTCTCATCGAAAAGTCCATGGAAGTTTTATTGAGCGATGGTATGTATTCGACTTCAACCATGCGCGTCTTTGGACACATGGGGATGGTCATGGCGATGAGGCTGCAAGATGAGGGCCGGCGATGCAAATGCATGAGTCCAGACCGGATGGCGGTCAGAAGTGGTACCAGTACCAGTCCGAGCTTGGCTGCGACTAGCCCTCAATTCAGACCGGGAGTATGAGGCGGCGTATCGGGGGCGAAACTGGTCTGCGGCATGGATGGATGCAAGGAGGGGAATTATTATGCCATGCAATTGCGAGAGGCCGATGAGATGCAAGACCGACCAATACAGCGCGTTATAGCGCTTTGTAGTGACCAATACCGAGGTTATAGGGGGTCAAGGCTGAATCCAGCGGTTGTTGACGCTGACCTTGTAGTGACCTCGACAACTTTCCCAAGTATTACTCCGAATCTAGGGATATAATTAAAGCAGGTTCTTCAATGTAAAATGAAGCTAGGATCCATAAAATGTGTTTTTTTTTAAAAAAAAAAAAATACATAGGATAGCTCGTAAGTTACCTACAAGTCAATGACAAGCCTCTGCGAGGCGGTGTCTACCAACGACTCCCATCACAAAACCGCCCAGGCTTGGCGAGCGCCATCCATCCACATCATCCATCTGCATCATCAGCACGCCCAAAATTAGCTGGAAGCGTCAGTCTTGGTCGCTGAGCTGAGCTGGGGCTTCATCTTGGCCAAGTCCACCAGCGATGGCGCCCCTGAATTACCATTTTCTGCCCCGGCCATGTCCCGCAAGCCTTCTCATGGTGTCGCCGTTTTGCAAGTCACAATATCGGAGCTACCACTCCGTACGTCTATTGTACTCGACCGCATCGAATCGTCGTATGTGCATTCAATGGCATCTGCAGCGACCACGCCACATGCACAACCCCGCAAGAACCTGCTTGACAGAAGAAGTGGGCTGACAGATAAATTAAAGTCTGGCTGCGTCACATGCCGGTATTCACTCACCTTATTTCTCGATGTTTCATGCAAAACCCTTGACGCTGATCCAAGCACATCCCAAACGAAAGATCTCGTCATGTTCGTTCAAGTGCGACGAGGAAAGCCAGTCTGTCAGCGATGTTTCGAGAGCGGTCACAAGTGTCGGCGACGGTCAAGTAGCTCTCGCTCCAATTTACTCGAGCGTTCAGACCCCAACTTGCCATGCCAAGAGCACGAGAGCCCGCACCGCATTTCCAACGCGACCGAGACGTACGGAAGCATGCGGCACAATGGCGAGGACCCCGCGCTGACGGGGATGCACGGGGAGCTACTTTCGCTGCGTGCTGAAGGTCAATGACATTATCAACGAGTGCATCCGCGACCAAGGGCCTTGCAGCAGCTACAAGGACGCCTTAGCAGGATCGTCGCCAAAGGTTTCCTGACCATGTGGCGCAGGCCGCATCCGCCATTCTACCAGTTTCGATTTGTGTTCCTGCAAGTGGAAGTTGCGTGAGAAATGACGTGTATTGATGAGACGTGCATGCCCTCAGTAGAAAATGCAGCAGCAGCAGCAGCGACAGCTAACCTTGTCTACTGCTCCACTTACAGGCACCGGGCTTGCTGCAAACACGAACGACGAGTCCCCGCGAGTATGCGAATATCAGCATGTATAATCTCACAGACAGCGACATTAGAGCGATGGTAGGTAGCTCCATGTCCATCGACATGCCCGCTCGGCGGTCTTGTTCCTTGCACTCGTCCATATCACTCGGCGGCGCGCACTCGTTCTTAGCCCACAGTACCATACTACCCTCTCACACCCAAATCATTGTCGCAGCCATCTTGTACCGAATCTCGGCCTTGAAGCTCGACAACTAGACCGAGCCGTAAAACTGAGATGCGAGCGTCATGGCCAAATCGCACAAGTTGACCAGGCCGCCATCTTGCTCTACGGCATCATTCTGAGCTTGCCGTCCTCAGCCTTGGTGCCATGGTTCGCTAGTTGCGTAGAAGGTAAACGTCAACTCGGGAATACAAACCTATACGGTTCCGGCAAAATTCTGGTTACGCTGCGCGAACCTGTTTCATCACGCGGCCGTCAACGGGCGGAATGTCGGGTATGTTTGAGATGTGAAACAATTGTTTATTAGTTGCGTTTTGCAAATCCGCCGTACCGGCCGGGGATGCCTCCAAGGATACAGCACCATATTTCCAGACTGTTTGATCTTGATGCAGCCGTTGTGTGTTGCAGCAACTATTGGGCCAAAAGAATTGGCAGCCGCAGCGACGAATATTACTGCAGCCGCACGATCATCAGCTTGTAACTGGCCAGGAGAGAGATGCTGCCCGTTTGGCGCAGACGTACAGCTCCTCCTCGATATAGTTACAAACAAGAAGATTTTTTCTCAACTACGCCATATCATCCGCACTTGACCGTTGAATTGAACCGTAAATTAAAGCATGGCCGTAAATTAACGTCAAAGCTGACGTCTTCAATAGCCCTCTGATCGCCGCGTAGCTCCCGAGAGCCGTCCAGATCGGGATGGCGCGAGAGGGTCGATGGCGCAAGTACCTCTCCCGCCAAGCACCAGCAAAAAGGTACCTAATGGCGCTAGGGGTCCATGACCTCACTGGGCTTGCCATCATGAGGAATCATTTTTCCTGAGCAACAGTCATACATTTTCCCAACGCCTTGGCCTTGAACTAAGAATGTAATAACTACTTATTGTGACAATTTGCAAATGTTGCACCTTGTTTACATCTCTTGTACACTGCGGCTGGCTTCGCAATAACAGGGGCATCGCAACAATGGCACCGACGCACGTTCTCGATAATTACTACCTGGCCATCACGGCCATTGTCACGGTCGGCTTCCAGCTCGCATGCTTCTTCGTCGCCTACTCTTGTCAATTCGACAAGATTACCGGTCCGTCCCAGCTTGACCACTCCTCCCAATCCCTTACCAATCCCCCATTGACTAACCAGCGCGATTCCAGACCTGGCCGGTGGCCTCAACTTTACCATGCTCGCCGTCCTCACCCTCGCCCTGAGCGGCGCCGGCACGGACCTGCACCCGCGCCAACTCGTCGTCTCCCTCTTCATGATTGCGTGGTCGGTGCGGCTCGCCGGCTTCCTCTTCTTCCGCATCCTCAAGACGGGCAAGGACGAGCGCTTCAACGACATGCGCGGCAAGTTCCTCTCCTTTCTCGGCTTCTGGGTCTTTCAGATGCTCTGGGTCTGGACCGTCTCCCTGCCCGTCACCCTGCTCAACAGCCCCAACGTGACGCGCTACCCGCAGCGGCCGTTTGGTACGGGGAGGGACGTTGCGGGCGTGGTGCTCTTTGCCGTCGGCTTCGTGTTTGAGGCGGGCAGCGACGTGCAAAAGTATCAGTGGAAGGCCAAGCAGACGCGCGAGAGCAACCGCACCGCCGTGTGCGACTCGGGCTTCTTTGCGCTGTCGCGGCACCCCAACTACTTTGGCGATATTATTATCCAGTGGTGTACGTTTGCCCCTCTTGATTTTATTTGTCAATCTGTTTGTGTAGGTAAATCCAGCTAATCCGCCATCAAGCCATCTTCATGATTGCCGTCTCCGCCGCCGCCGACGGCTACGTGCACGGCCAGGCCTACAAGGCCCTGTACGCCAGCATCCTTGGGCCCGTCTTCATCACTCTCCTCCTACTCTTCGTCTCGGGCATGCCGCTCGCGGAGCGGCCCAAGGCCAAGGACCGCTACGAAAAGGGCAACAACTGGGTGGGCTACAAGCGCTGGCTCGACCGCACGAGCCCGCTGATTCCGTTTCCGCCCCAGCTCTACGCCCGGATGCCCGTCTTCTTGAAGGGAAGCGTGTTTTTGGAGCTGCCCATGTACGTGTTTGACCCGGCCAAGCATTCGGACGTGGCGACGCCTGGCGGTGGGAGGGACGGCGGCGACAGCACTGGCCGCGGTAATGAAGGGCGGGAAAGTGCCGAGCAGCGGCTCGTGTAGTATGAGATATGTCAACGACAAAGAATTATGTTTAATGTAGTGAAAATGTATAATGTATATCAACAACGACTTGCAACATGTATCAACATTTAAACAATCACTTGAATGTGAAACCACTATATGTTCTGCACCTTTCACTGCTCCTGGTATCCGCCCCTGCCTGCAGCCTACAACTTTCCATGGATGCACCGAGCATCAATCCAAAGCGTCTTGCGCGGGCCCTTGCCCGCTGCTATCCGACGAGCGCTCCGAGTACGACTCGGAGCTCTCTGGGATGGGCACCATGGCGCTCTTTGTCCAGATGTGGACGGCCTTGGACCAGTCTATGCCCGAGACGCAGCCTCCTCTGACGGAGACTACATTTTTGGCCTGTGAAATTTTAAAAAAAAAAGCGTGTCAGTTTTTTCATGAAATAATTTTTATGTTGTTGTGAAAAAAAGAGAGTTGACGTCTTGTTGAACGTGTCGAGGGTTAGGGGAGGAGACGTACATCTGTGCTGTGAAGGATTCTTGTGCCGCAGTTTCGGCAGAAATAGCTTCAACACGATAAAAAAGACGCTTGTTCAGACAAATTTCCATTACAAAAACAGAGAGAAAAAAATGAATAAGAGTATCGGGTAAATTATGCTTACCAATACAACGTTGCTCCCGTCGACGTCAACCGTCTACCTCACCCCAAAGGTTCATTAGCCAGACATTACAAGCCAACAACACCCTTTTCCCAACAACAACCTCGTTGTTTGTATATATATACTCACCTATAGCAGCTCAGCAATTCCGAGGCGGGCGGCTCAAATTTGGGAAAAATGGCCGACATGGCAAAGGCCGAGCTTGTCAAAGCCTTGCACGTGTCGCAGTGGCAAACGTAGGTGGCCAGCGGCGCGGGCAGCGGCGTCTTGAAGCGGACGGCGCCGCAGTGACATCGGGCGTCCATGGCCGGGGGGGGGGGTTATTCGAGTCTGGAATTTGGTTTATTGTACGTATTCAAATGGATGAAAGAGGCACCCGAAAAAAAAAAGGATGGATGCTTCAAGGGCGTGTACAAAAGCTTGAAGGAGGAGTCAAAAGTTGATTTGGCTGCGAGACGCTAGAAACTTTGGAGCAAGGCTGTGGCGGGGTCGTCACTGAGTGCTTGTTATTTGTTGAAAGAGACTTTGCTTTTCAATAACGGTTCCCAACGGGCTATTTCATGAATCCACTGTTGTAATATTTGGGATGAACCGTAAAATTACGTTAGACATTAACGTATTGAAGAATGACTCCATGTTCACAAGCCTAGCCTCCGATTTGCGGCTCGGCCGTGAATGACTCCCGTCCCGGTTTTTCTCTTCAGCCCAGCACGGATGAACCAACGGCTGAAGCAGACCTGTGACTGTCATGTCAAAACTGCATGGTCAAATTTGACGTTTTTTTGTTTTGGTCAATTTTTCATAGAAATAATGGACGCCACAATATAGGCGATGAGAGCTCAAAAAACTACTTGAAACCATGCATAATATGAAAGAAATGAAAATGATATCTATGTAGAACCTTTGAGCCCCGTGACTCCAATGGGAATGAAAAAGATGTAAACAACGCCTGCGCCAGCCTTTTGCCTCTTCATCAACCTAGCCCACGCTATGCTATGCTATGCTATAATTGCATCGGTTGCGTGGCCGAAGCACCTGGCTGCCCACTGTCCGTTCTCTCTGGCGGAATATTGATGCCCTCCAGCCCTCGCATCAGCACCGCTCCTTTGCGCTCATACTCTATGTTCCGGGGGACGTCAAAGTCTGCACGCGTCATGAACCACAGGAGCGTCTCAATCTCGGGACCCCTCGGCGGCAGCGCCGCAACTTCATTGACCCCAGCCGCCGCTGCCGCTGCCGCTGCCGTTGCGCCATCCCTGCCATCTTTGTCCTCGTCCTCGTCCTCATCCTCATCCTCATCCTCATCCTCATCATCTTCCTCGTCCTCATCGTCCTCTTCAATCTCCCTCCGCAAGCCCGTCCGCACCTTTTCCACCCCCATATCGCGCTCCTCCTTTGTGTACACATCCCCCGCCTCGTCGCGCACGTACTCGGCAATGCGGCTCTGCGTCCACGCGCGCAGCTCGTCCCATATCGCCTGCAGCTCGGCCACGCCCTCTGGCGTCGCCCGCCGCGCCGTCTCGCGGCCCACTTCCACCAGCTCCTCCACGTCGGGCTCCAGCTTCTTGCGCAGCAGCTGCGTCAGCACGTTTTCCTGCGCGCGCCCGGGGTAGTTGGTCGAGGGGCGCACGGCGACGCGCGAAAAGAGCTCTGCGTTTTCGGAGAGGCAGTCGAGCACCGTCGAGAGGTTGCGCTGCAAGATCCGTGCCGAGGCGTGTAGCGAGTCGCTATGGTTGAATGCGCGTCAGAGAGAGAGAGAGATGCTGAGAAATCGATTGCGTGGACAATGGGGGGAAACAGAAGTAGCTGCAGAGTTTAGGGGGCGACGAATAAACTCACGGATGGGGAAGAGGGTTGCTTTTGAGAATGTCCATCTTGAGGCTCTGGATGCTGCTTGAGAGCTGCGCCAGCCGCGAGAGGATCTGCTCCACCGACTTGAGCTCGTCGTCGTCCAGCCCCAGCGCCATTGCCTCTTTGTTCGGAATGTACTTGTAGTTTCTCGAGGATCGTGGACAGTGATCGGCCGTGTGTGCGAGCTATTTCTCGTTGCAGTAGTTGTGCTGAAAGGGTGCTGGATAATGTTGAAAGAGTGACGTGGGGTCGCTAACGTGCACTGGCGCGCGAACTCAATTTCAGGCGGCCTTCGGTCGTGCGGCAGACAATTGTGACTTACAAGTGCGACCTGATTTCTGGCGGTTCCCGAGTGCCGACCGACGTGCAATTCAGCCGTCATGGTAAGTATGATATAAATCCCCAAAGGTCAAAAGATGCATTGGCATTTTTCAATGCCATATCGTTGTTACCTAATAGGACCAAGGCGCTTGAAGCCAGCGTCCCCCTCACAGCGCTGGTGATGCTGCATGTCAGCGTCGACAAGGCACAATACTACTCAGTTCGGGATGAATATTTACATCGACCATCATTCATTTTGACAATTTATATTTATCATATCGTAGGCTCCTAAAAGCACTCGTCATGGAATCGTAAAGTCCGCTAGACAAAACCTGTGACAATTTCTTCCTCCATTATCCATCCAGTAATGCTACAAATGCACTCGGACGTGCTGTTCCTTGCTCAACCGCGTGTCGAGCTGACAACACCCCCCTTGTTAATCTCGTATCCGTGGGTATCAACAAACGGGAAGCGAGCCTTTCTCTCCAAGTCGTCCAGAGGAATGGTGGAGCGAATGTATTTTTGACGGCCGTCATCGACGGGGTCGTGGTCCCAGCTGGTGAAAGTGCCAATCTTCAAAGCATCCCAAACCAGACGACGGCTGCGCTGAGACATAAAGACCTTTTCAGTAATCTCGTCAAAGTTCCAGCGCGCCTTGGCCTCTGCATCGTACTTTTCAAAGACGGCCTTTGCTTCCTTGTCTGCCTCCGTCCGAGGTTCGACGTCGACAAAGCGCGCCAGATTGTCAAGCTCATCGGGATCCTCGTCCAGGTTGTAAAGCTGAGGCTTGTCTGCTGGGCAAGTAATGTACTTCCAGGGACCGCGACGAATCATCATCATCGGACGGACGGTGCCCTCTCCCGTGTACTCGGCATACACAGTATCGTTGCCCGTCTTCCCCTCGAGATGGGGCATCATGCTGACACCATCCATGGGAAGATAGGGTGCCGGCTTGACACCAATGAGGTCGCAAATGGTGGGTAGTAGGTCCAGGGTTGAAACATTTTGGGTCACGCGATGAGGCTTGAACCACTTGGGGTAGTTGACCAGCAGAGGCACTCGTACAGACGACTCAAAGTAGCTCATCTTGTACCAGAGACCACGCTCGCCAAGCATGTCGCCGTGGTCGCCGCTAAAGATGACAATGGTATCTTCAGCCAGACCAGCATCGTCCAGGGTTTGAAGAAGCTTGCCAATGCAGTCATCAACGTAGCTGACAGAGCCGTAGTAAGCACGCTTGGCACGCTTAATCTGGTCATCGGTGAAATCCTGGTCCCAGAGATCACAAACTCTCAACAAGCGCTGGCTATGTGTGTCGAGATCCTCCTTGGCCATGCGAACCTTGGGCAGAGCAATGTCGACATCATCATACAGCTGCCAGTACTTTTTCGTGATGGTATAGGGGTCATGAGGATGGGTGAGAGAGACCTGGATACTGTTAGTACAGCGACTCTCTTGGCAATTGCACCTGTCAAGTTGCATCGAGGGCAGATTTGGAAGAAATACTTACAGTAAGAGCGAAAGGGCGTTTGTTGGGCCCCTCGCGGACATGGTCCCAGAGGTACTGAGTGCTCCGATACATGACCTCCTCGTCGTAATCGAGCTGGTTGCTGCGGCCGCAAGGCCCAGCCTGCAGAATGGAGCTGGCATTGTGGTACCACTCGAGGCGCGTGTCGGGCTCATCCCAATTGACAGCCCAGCCAAAGTCGCCTGGGTAAATATCGCTAGTGAGACGAGTCTCGTAGCCGTGAAGTTGGTCGCCAACAAAATGCATCTTGCCGGCCAAAGCGGTGTGGTAGCCCTGGGTTCGCAGGTAGTGGGCATAGGTGGGAATTTCCGAGTTGATTTGAGAGGCATTGTCGTAGGCACCAATCTTCATGGGAAGAAGTCCAGTGATCATACTCATGCGCGAGGGAGCGCAGAGAGGAGACGGGCAATAGGCCGAGTCGAACTGAACGGAGCTCTCCGCCAGGCGGTCGAGGTTGGGTGTCTTGATCTGGGAATCGGGGTTATACATTTTGAGCTGAGGAGCGGCAAGTTGGTCGGCCATGATGTAGATGATGTTGGGCTTCCCCCTACCGGTGGTGGCGGCGCCTCCGTCAACGATGGAGTTGAGATCAGGAGCCATTGTGTAGGATAAGTTTGCCAAGAGCGAGTTGTGAGTGAAAGGGTAGTATTGAAGGGGTATAGTGGCGCTTATGTTCTTATAAGCAAGCAATGTTGGTGATGCGAGAACCAACAGCCGCTGGAGCTTCCGTGTCAAGACAGCACGACTGTTTGTTGGGCAGACAATGCTGCACAGTAGAGAAATGGGTGATTGGAATAAGGGTAGGTAGAAGAGCTACTTTTCCCCAATAGTACAAAATCCAGTTCCTCTGAATAGTCTCTTTTCCTTTCTCAAACAATTGACAGAACAACAAAATAGCCCAGCGGTCAAGCCCACGGTATTAATCAAACAAGAGGATGGTTGGAAGATGCGCAAAGAGGAAAAGCGAAGCAATGAAGAGGCAATGGATGAGGCAATGAATAAAGCAATGGATGAATGATGTAAGCAAAGAATAAACAAGCGTCTAGGTTTACTGATTGATAAAATCAAGGTTGAAGATCAGGAGGGAAAGATAAGGCTGGGGTGGGAGACGGGAAGTGTGATATTTATCCTCGAGAGAAGGACGGCGATCGGACTGCGGACCCGGGGCGCGCAACGCCAAGGCGGATGTCATTGAGGGTTTGCGTATGCATTATGCAAATAGCGAAAGACGGAGATGAGCAAATAACACTGTAATTTGGATTAGCGCATGTGGGTTCTGAATCGTCTTTGTGTGAATCAAGCAACAAGCAAGAGTTCCTGCAGCTGGAGTGGCGGACTTGTCTGCAGCTATACCGTGCACTGTGCCAGGGATGTCGCGGCTAGCATGCACTGTGTAATAGAGACTAGGGGTCACAGTCAGATGGCGCAGGAGACGCTCGCCCTAGCGCAAACTTGACGAGGCCCGACGTCTTCAGCCGTTGCCTAACCATGACCAAACCTGAGGAACAAAAGAGCCAATGGGCCACACTGTTTGGCACTGGAATGGCGCAGACTGTGCTGCCCGTCTGTGCACTGCTGTCTGCAGTTTGACTTGAACTGAGGAATCTTCTGTTGGCCCACGCTAGGCCGGTTCTGGTGCCAAGTTCTTCAGTCGCGTGTGGTGCCAGCCCTGGTATTATTACTCAGTAGTATATTTTGCAGGGCATTCTGAAACGGTTGTTCAATGTTGAGGCTTGGATTTGTTAAAGCTGGAGTGAGCAGCACAATTGGTCGTACCTGCCCAGCTGGCAAGTGCTCTTCTTGATAATTTCATTGGTACCTAGGTAGGTACTTCTCTCTGTTTGCACTGCTGACTGTGCAATGGCAACTAGCAACTGGCAACCTACCTGTTCAATGTTAAACAGAACTGCGCGTTTGCTTGGAATTGATCATTCATCCATCATTGGTTGTACCCAAAAGCCGGCTCGCTTCCTTCGCCAAAATGATATATACCCTCTGCTCCCTCCATCTCGAAACGCGCGGGCTTGGTCACATGTCGTGTTACCTCTTGGTCTTGTCTCACTCCTCAACGGCGGTGTGACCACCTGCCACTCAGGCAGGCAACAAGGTCAGCAGCCAAAATACGAACCACAGATAAATCAAATAAGTCCCCATTTTACGCCTCTTTTTAGCGTTAACCTGGGGTATCACTCATGCCAGCCCTCCGCCCAGGGGGTCACGCTCCAACTGCAGTTGCTTGATTCGGCGCCAAGCCTCCTGTGGTTGGTTGGACCAAATTGAAGCTTGTCTCGAAGTCTTACCACGGCCATGACCATAACGCCAGACATACTGGAGAGGAGTGGCCGGCCGATCTGGTTGATTCGACGGCAGCCAATAGCGATGCAGCGTTGCGTATATGATGCTCGTCAGCTTCGAGGCAAGGCTTTTTCCCCATCATACTACCTCTCTTCATCATGGCCGCCTTTGAAAAGCAATACTGACAAGCCGCCAGGCGAGCCAAGCAGGCCCCCAGATTCCGCGAACGTTGTTCGAAATTACGGTGGGGGCTGCCACCGCCTTCCGCCATCCCTCTCGCCCCGAATACCCTCGCCCGGTGGGCTGCCAACCTGCAACACCACACCGAAATAATCTATACAGTATTTCTGCACTGTATAGACTATTTCGACAACTCTTTCGTTATTCTTTGCTCTGAGCACGCGACTTCGGCTCCTACCAGCCCGTTACCGATATCCAGACATGCCTCCGAGCCGTCCGACTTCGCATCAGAATGAGACGGCTTCTTGGCACTATTCTGTCAGACACATTTACGGCCGCAACGTCTACAAGCATCTCACCCCCAACAACTCATGGCCACGTCTCTCTGTCCATGTTTTGCTTCAGCTTGGCTTTTGTTCTGTTTCAATGTTTGCTAGTGGCAGCGGTCAGTCAGCGGGGCGATTTGGGCTTAGACCACTGAAATCAGACGATTAGGCGCATCCGCGAGGCGTTGCCTATTTCGTGTTCCAGAGCCAGAATTGCGCAATCCCAACTCTTTCGTCATGTAAGCCAACCTTACCAGATGCACGCCAGCTCTTGGCCATCCGAGATCCGCTAGCCCCTGGTCCGCCGACAGCCACATGCACCCCAACACGGCGACAACTTGAAACAAATCCTGGCTCGGAGCCCCGTACTCCGTCTTGAGTCCTGACTCCTGTCACCTGTGTGTCGGACAGTCGGCGTGTGTGCAGAGCAATCAAGGGCATAACTGCAAGCGCAGCTTTATGCATGCCCTTGCTTTCCATGCCAGGGCTTACAACATCTGCATCCCTATTCCGTCTCGGTCCGGGCGCAAGAGCCTAATTGTCGCCGAATCGCCCGGTACCCAAAATAATGACCTTTTAACAAAGTGAGCCTCTGTCGCACTGACATGTGGTATGGCGCAACCGCTCTCGCTGTCCGCTGAGCCACCAAAATCAACAGCAAACTTTAACTCTATATCACGTATCACACAGTTGGCAAGATCTTTATGCAAGTGTAGCTGTAATTCAAAATTTCTTGTTTTACTTCGTACCTTCATCCTCCCTATTCGATACTGGCAGTATGAGCACAACACGACAGTTGCTCCAAAACAAACATGTCGATCGGGGCTGAACATCTTCGAACAAAGGACCATGTCATACAATTGTTTGCAATTTATATTCATCGCCTTTGCGCAATCCTCGCGCATGCCTCCCCCGTTTCCCTCGACGTTCACATCTCTGCCATCAACGTCGTCGTTGCCTGTACCAACCAATTCGCCTACCCCCTCCTAAATATGCGCCGTCTCTTTTGAAGCAGATGTAAGAACCTGCTGCTTCTGTCCATGTCCGGGCCAATACACACACACTCGATAACACCATGCGACCAGAATCCATAAAACACACAAAAAAAAACGAACGACTTAAATCGATCAAGTAAAAAGGAAAAAAAGTGCGCGTGCGACGAAATTCCATGTAAAAAGCTCCGCCATGTCAACATAATCTTTGAAAGGAAAAAGAAAAAACAATGCCTTATGTTCGTGTACCAGCGAATGCCATCCATTATACAATTGCCCCCGTGGCATCCATGCCGGTCTTCATTGAAGGCAGGAACGGCAAGAGGGGCCAAAATTATAAGTCATTGAAGCAGTTTTGTCGTAAAAAACCCCAGATGTTCAGTCATCAATACTCGCATTTACTGAGTGCGGTAGAATTTCTTGTACACCAGATGCAGCAAGAGATTGACGTTGAGTTTGAGGTTGCCCTCAAAGAGGTGCATGAATTGATGCGCCTCAAATTGCGCCTGCAGCAAATCTTCGATATTGACGACAGCGCTGGCGCCGGGCATCTGAATGTGCCCACGGGTGCCCTCAATGACAAACACACCGACCTGGTCGCAGGAAATGGTCACGTTGATCTTGTCATAGTCCGACATGCCCTTCCATGCCACGAGCACGCCCTTGTCCGAGAGAGCGCGCGCGCTGTACATGTAGCTGCCAAACTTGGGCACCTTGCCGCTGCGTTCCAGCTCGCGCTGGTGGTTGTACTGCTTGGTAAATGGCATCAGGAATCGCTTTTTCCTAAAGTTGAGTTAGTGGTCGGCTTCCCCTCAAGTCTAGCGCATGCTTTGCACTTACCCCTTCTTGTTCTGTAGCGTCATCATGGCTTGCTCAATGTAGTCATCGTAGCTCTTTCTTTGCTGTTCCAGGTAATTGGCCTTCTCGTGGAGGTTGCCCAGCGTCAGATTGACACCCTCAAGCTCGCGTTGCCTTTGGACTCGGCGTCTGCTCTTGGAACGGATGTCGCTGGCAATGGCATTGAGGATGTCTTGGTAATTGTTGTGCTTCGAGATTCTGCCCATCTGCTCAAGCCGCATGACATTCTCGAGCGCTGTGCGCTTGAGTTCGTAGTATGACATGCGTGTCACATCGATCATGTTCGCTTCAGAGTATGCACCGTGGCTACCACTCGGGGCAAAGTCGCCCTGAAGCAACGAAGCCCATTTTGCGTCATCCTCTTCGGTAATTGGCTTGACGAGAATCTCCAAGAGGTTGTTACCCGTCTGTACACGAATGATGTACAGCACACAGCGCTTCGTCTCCATGAACAATGCCTTGACTTCTGCATCTGGGTCCTCAACGTTGTGAAGTCTGGGCGTCAGAAACATTTGAATATCAGACGACCCGGCAGCGCTCATCTCGCTCTCATTCGTCTTGGCGCTACCCAGATCTTGAATAATCTCGCGCAGTACGTCGTCTCTGGTCGGGCACAAAAATGGAAGTTGTGATACAATGAGGTTGTGAATGGAAAACACGTCAGCCATTTTGATGTAGAGCGTCGGTTTGTTCTTGGCGTAGAGGTCGTTGAATTCGTCAATGTCAAAGGTGCTTTCAGCATCAGGTACGGAAATAAGTTCGCTCATGATGTGTCGGAGGCGCTCAATTGATTCCGCCACAAAGGCGTTCAAAGGCTGCAAGTAGACGTTCTCGCCACCAAACGGTCGGCCCGAAGCGATTTGGCTAAGAACCTTTGCCACTTCTCCGAGGTTACGTTTCTGAAGAGGACTCAGCGTCTTCTCAATAACGCCAACGTTCTCGGGCGAAACAATGGCAGGCTGGAGATAGAATTTCCAGTACCAGCTCGTCACATGCTGAAGAAGGATATCCGGCGAGTCGCGGTTAAAGTGCTGGCGCAGAGATTCGAACATTTGCCGGCAGAGGAATCGAAGGCCATAGGGCGTCTTGAAGACGTGATCTTCCATTGCAAGGAAGAGTTGATCGCAGATTTCTCTCAGGTCGCGCAGGTGATCGATGAAGAGTCGGCGGGTTTCAGGGTCACGAATCGCAACTTCGCGCGGAACGTCCAGCGGCCTGCCGTCTGGGCGACCAGTGCGGAGCTCTTCGTTATTTATGGAAGCTCGGTAAATTTGCATAGGGTCGCTCTCCAAGTCCAGGGCTGGGTCTTCCACAATATTGTCCCGTATCAGCGGGCCGAGGAGGCCTCGCAAGAACTTGCGATCTCTGGGAGATCGCGTGTAGTTAGCCAAAAGCTTTGACCAGAAGAAAGTGCCACGGCAGTATTCCTGGAGGCTGCGATTGCCTTCAATCTCCTCGCGGATGGACCGAGCAATAAGCTTGAGCAGATAGTATTCTTCACGACGCTTTTGTGCATAACCAAACATAGCCATGATCAAAAGTTCAATTCTCTTGCTTTCGCTATCAGGCGTACCTTGCTCGCGCAGGTGCTTGAAGAGACGGGCCAGATATTGAGGTTGAGTTTGGAGGCAGAAGAACAGCTGCTGATATGATTCGAGCTTCTTGCGTGAGCCCTTGTTTAATGCCTTGAGGTCGAATTGATTGGACGAAGAAATGGACGAGTTGGCCAGCATTCCCATAGATGAGCCGCCACCGTAGTTGTGCTGATGTGAGACGACCTCATCCAGAGTAATTTTGTTCTTGACCAATAGAGCAATCTTGATATCCAGCTGGTCAATGTACTGCTCCAACATTTCGTTTTGCCGAACCTGCTGCACCACAGTCTTTCGCATGCGTTCGAATTCCACCTCTTCGTTGAAATCAAAGTCACTGTCGTTAAGCAGATGAACAAAGTTCTTGACGGCATTGACAGGCGGGTTTTTCCCAGTAGTGAGGCTCTTGTATGCCTCGCCTTGCACCTTGGCGCGTACAAAACTCTGAATCTTGATAACCTTTTGCATATTCTCGTCAAAGAAGCGCTTCTTCTCTTCGAAACGAGCGCGGACAAGGAATGCTCTGGCGGCGGATTGGAGTTCGACAATGGACTCCTCCTCTTCGTAGAGCTCCGTCAGCAAGTCATCGACACGCGCGCGCTCCATCATTGCCTTGAGCATAGCCTGGAAAGCAGCCGTTTCCGCATTGTGAGAGACTAGCTCTGTCATGAGTGCCTCATGCTGTCGGCGGTAGTTGAATCCGCGTATGCGGCTCTGCAAACTCGTCACTGTCGGAGTTACACGGTCCAGCTTCTGTTGAAGAGCAGAGACACTTCGCCGCTCAAACATGCCTCTAATACGGGATTGTAGTTCGATGGTGTCCGGCTCATTCAGGTGAAGACTATCCAGCTGACTTGCGATATCGCGTCGAACAGCCGCTGCGCGGATGGCGGCCTGAAACCTGCCAATGTCCAATGAGTGCTTCTTGACTTCCATTTGTGTGCCAATATGCTGAGCTCTCGCTGCCTTTCCTCTGACCAGGCTTTGGAGCATAGTCAAGGAAGATGCGAATGACTGCAAGGCATCTCGCTCACGAGAAATCTGAAATCTGGTCAGCGCAGCCCTAGCGGCTGCTTGTAATTGCACTGTTGCTCCGTTAAAGCCGTCCAAGAGATTACGCTGAGTATTCAGTTGGCCTCTTCGTAGCGCTCCGCGTGCAAGCGCCTGAAGGTTGAGAACATCCCCAGAGGCTTGTTTTGTCTCGCGCTTTTGTACGATAAGGTCTTTGCGAATGAAGAAGCCTCTAGATATTGCCTGAATCTCCCGAACAGCTCCTTCAGATTGCGACACCATAGAAGTTATATCTCGTACCTCTTTCCGGACTTTGTTTGCCCGAATCATGCTCTGGAGAGTGAGAATATCGGGTTCGATTGCCTTCCAACAGCGGCCATCATTCTTCATGCGCCGTCGGGTCAGGAATCCTCGTGCAGCACTTTGTACCTTGATTGAAGAGCGACGCATCTGGAGCCTATATCCCATAATTTGTCTCGTGAATTCGCCGCGAATACGTGATTGCAGATCGATAAGTGCGCCTTCACCGTCCCAGAGATCTTGCATGTCATTTCCGAGACGTAATCTCGCGAGAGCGCCACGTATTTGCGCTTGCAGGTCTGTGATTTGGGCGGTTTCTTGAGCTAATTCGCGGTCGATTCTCTCTTCTTCAGTTTCCTGTGGCTCGGGCTCGGGGACGCCAAAATCGGCACCCATATTGCCAAAGCTTGGCATGCTGACACCTAACTTGTCCAGTCCCTTCTGCATTGCTTCAAGCTCATGATGCTCAAACTCGAGCTGGCCAACCAAATTGCCTATGCGGAAGTCTACTATGCCTTTCCGGAACAGCAACCAGCTGAGAGCGTGAATGCAATATATGACTTTGGGGATATTCTTCTTCTCGTAAAGATCGATGAGTTCGAATCGGAAAAGATCAGGCACTTCTACCTCATCCAGGTAGCGAAAGAAGATGGCAATATTGTCGGAGTGTCGGTATTGAAGCTTGGGGTGGCGAAATATGCGAAAGTGCCTGTCGGGATTGAGCGCTTCGACGACCTCGGCGAGCGTGACACCGTCGCGAAGCGCCTCTTCGAGCTCGACGATGGGTGGCAGAGTCTTGTTGGTAATATCCTCGATCCACTCGCGTGCTTCTCCGATATGGCAGAGATACTCATAGGCTTGCAGGAACTGACGTTGCTTATCCATCCAGTTGCGGCCTTCCCATCCGTACGCATTAGACTTGGTTGTTTTGCCAGCAGCTGACTGCTCTGCGCGCTGCAGTCTGCGCCGGCCGCGGAGACCGACAACTTCCTGTGTGGGCGACGTGATGGAAAAGTCATCGGTGGTGTTGGATTGAGCAAGCTTGGAGAGAGTGCGCAGCTGCGTAGTGGAGGAGCGGCCAAGCTTCTCGAGCTCTGGGGCGCAAATATGAGGGCTGTTGCTGGGAACGGCTCCAGCTCCACGGAGCATTGAGTCGGATCGAGTCAGTAGCATCGAGTTTGGCCGCATAGATGACAGGCGAGGAGGAGATGCCGGCGAAGCTGGACCATCATTCTGGGAAATGGAGAGCTTGGATATGTCGACGCTCTGGCCGCGGAGATGGCGCAGCTTCTGTTCTGGCGACGCTGATGGCCTGGGAGGAGAGGCAACTGGGCCTTGGGGCAGCTGGCGAAGGGATGGGCGAGTTGAGGCGGCATCTCTACTTGGGCTGTTCATGTCGCCCGATTCGAAGAGCCGGGCTCGGGCAATGACATCGCTTTGGCCGCGCCTATGTGTATATGCTGTAGGAGTTGGCTTGGGGGGCGAGAATCCGCTCGAGAGGGATGAGTATTGCGTATTTTGAGTCTGGTCGGAGGCGTAGGAGTAGCCGGATGAGGCAGAGGATGAGGTGGTGGAGAGTTGGCGAGAAATGTTATTGTCGGGAGGCACAACCTCGAGGGTATGCGACTGCCGTAAAGGATGGGGGCGAAACATGGCAGCCAGGCTCACTCGGAGTAATTGAGCAAGAAGGCCGAAAGTATTGACAATGTATCGCTAAGTTGTTGGCCTGCGCAACTAGTACATCTTCCTGGGCGTCTAGGTCTGGGGATTGGTGGTGCGCTGGAATGCAAATCGAGGAATTGTCGCAGGGAAGCAGGCAGGATGGACCCCAAGACATGCGCGCGGGCGCGCGAAGCAGAAAGTCCCGGTCTGACGAGTGGGCGGTGACGGCGGAAGCAAACGGAAGCTGTAAATGCTGCACGACACGGTGTCTAGGAATGTTGGAAGGATGATGGATGGCTGTGACACTGGGCTATGCCGTCACAAGCTATTTGGAGAAATACACAGATGCAAGCCTTAACAGCAGGTGGCAGGCCACAAGAATGGGCCGGGCAGGGGAGGGGGGGAGGTGAAATGTGAAGAGCAAGGACCACATCGCGGGGTTGTTGCACATTTGGACCTTTGACTAGGAGGCTTTGTAGTGCGGTTGGTAGCATGTAAACAAACAACCAGGCGACGGCGTAGCAACGGGGTGAGATGCGCGCTGCCATTGGCTACTGATCCCATCGAGATCCGCTTTTACGCACAGCTCCTATTACCGGCCTAGCGGCGATACCGGGGCATTGGGCAGCTTTGTATTATTTCAACAGGCCCGGCACTGTAAATATGTATTTAGGAGGTCTCGCTCACTACTAATAGTTGGGTAGAGACATTGAAGCCTGACGCCGTCTGCTCGAGTAGCTAACTAATTATGACGCCATTTCGTAAATATAACGTGATGGTCCTTTTTTGTGCGCACTTAACCACCCTTGTGCAGATATCCGCCATCACAAATCGGCACAGATATTAACAAGCGTGTGGCACCCCGCCCGTTTGTGTAGCTGTGCGCGACTGTACAGTGCTCGCACTGTGAAGCAATCACTTCAAAGGTCATCGCGATGATATCGTAATACTCAGCAGACGAATTATCCATCTATTAGTATACATGTGCACATGAAGACAAGAATCTCGATGCTTACTCCAGGTAGCGCCATACATTACAGCAAGAGAAAAGTCAAGACTGGCCATCTGCTGGCTTGTCAAGCTCACACTTAGCTGGCATAGAAATTCTTTACGATAGCTTCTTAATTATGACCTTTGAACTAATTGCAGTATGTTGCGTGCGTAGAAACAGTTCCTCATCCGCGACACTCGCGGTCAGCCTTGGCCCGTGACGCAACGGATGGTAATGCGGCTTGCCTTCGTCGCCATCTGCTCAGCGCATGATAAATGTGCTAAAGATCTATGTACATTTCGAAAAGATTATCCAGTAAAACAAGAGGCTTGCATGTTTTGAACCAGTTTGTATAGCCGGCGTTTCCTTGTGCTGCGCATCCGTTCTATTTAGCCTAGAGTGTCCTTCTCAGCCAGGCTCATCACGGAAATCGGTCATCCATATCTCTTCTCAGGCTTGGCAAAGCATCTCCTTGAAGCGCAAATAATCAAGATGAATTTCGCCTATACCAAGACACTACATATGCAGTAGTGCGTATCTTCAAGGACAAACGGAATTAGTGTGACGTTCTGTGCACCTCCATTACCTCTCATTTATTCTCCCCGGCGCAATATGATCATTTCTTTGCCATGAGATCCTCCATTATCATCCTTCATCCTCGGCCATTTGTATCGCTGGGCTTCTTTTCCAAAGATATCAGCTTCGTCTTCCGGCATCTCCATTACGTTACAGATACAGAGGAGGCCTTTCTGTAATGTGCACGTCGTCACACCTGCGGCTGAGCAGTGCTCAGCCGCAGGCAGCTGAGACACAATCTTGCAGCTATATACAGACGTTCAATCGTCCCTCATTTTCGAGTTGACCAGCTTTGTCAAGCGCAACATGTTACAATCTAAAACCCCCCGCCATCGTAATCGCAATCGAGCCGCTCTCCACCTGAGCTGGCCATGGGCGCTCGAAACGGCACTCATAATTCTTTCCATAGCCAGTCTCGTCACCATGATTGCACTGCTCCGCACATATGATGGGCACAAAATCTTCAGTTGGCACGGCGTTACTCTCAACGCGGTCGTGGCTGTGCTTTCTGTCGCTATGAAAGCAGCCCTTACCTCTGCGGTAGCGACCTGTCTTGGCCAATGGAAGTGGATCATCTTTAGCAAAGAAGAGTGTTGTGTCTTGGACTTTGAAAAGATTGACCAAGCTAGCCGCGGCTCGCTGGGATTTTTCTCTGTATTCACTCGCAGAGCCGTGTCGTGAGTGGCATATGTAGCCATCCTGGATCAAGTTCAGACACTGACAGCGACCTCACGCATGACTGCAGCGAAACTTGGCGCGTTCGTTGTGTTGCTTGCCATAGCTCTAGGCCGTTCTCACAGCAGCTTATTCAGGTCAAGACGACCATGGTTTACTCAAAGCAAGATTACCCCATCGCCCGCAGCACCGCATATGATTTAGGCAGTGTGACTGAGACTGGCCCAAAGCAAAAATTGTTTGGATCGGAGGAGGCATATCATCAGGTCACGGCGGAGCTCGATCCGTCTTTAGAAGCCTTTATTTTATCTGGTCTCTTCAACAAGCGCAGTCTGTACCAGAAGCGCGCCGACATGTACTGCTGGAGTCGAGACTGCCGCTGGCCCAGCTTCACCACCGCAGGGGTCTGCTACCAGTGCAACGACATTACTTCAGAGCTGACTCGCTATGATACCTGGGCTCTTTCAACTCCCAATGGTTCAACCAAAGGGATTCCTATTTCAGCTTATTTTCTACCCAACGAAGCATTCCTAGCCAATTTGGATGGCGATATTACAGTAACTCGACAAGATAATGATACCTTTAATTACAAATCTGCGGTTCGTGGAAGTGGTGCATCTTTGCAGATGATGGGCTTTTCTACAGGCGATCCAGACAAGACTGTTTCTTCTCTGGGAGATCTCAAAGGGTTGATCATCGCGCTGAGCGCTGTGCAGCTCAATTGGCCTGCATTGATGCAGACTGCCAGCTACAACTACTCCTGGCCAGATATTCCAGTCATTGCCAGTGAATGCGCATTACATTACTGTGGCCTTGACGTGACTTCACAGGTCAGCAACGGTACCCTAATGGAAACAACGCGGAAGTTGGATCTTGCCCCTAGCCCAGACTCGTACAAAGTTGTTGAGAAGGAGCTTTTTCCGTCTCTGCCCCAAAATGTCAGCAACAGCTTGGAGTTTGATCCCATCACGTCTAGAATTGCACGGACAGACTTGAAGCTACAGGACCCTCGTAATGCCTCGAAAGCGTTCATTTTCGGCGCAGACACTGTCAAGAGTGTCAGCAGTTTTTTCAAGCAACGTTCCAAACAAGTGTCAACTTGACGGATCGGATGGGCCCGAATTCGGTCACGGTGAGCCTACAATCAGGTAAATTTCCTAGAGGCAGAGCAAACATTGCCTACTATGGGTCGTTGGGTCTGCCGCCCAAAGGGAGAGGACTTTATAACCCAAGTCGACGTGAGCTCTGGCAAAGCTTTGACGTTTTGGCACAGAGCATGATGACGCCATACGCAACGCTGTCCCAGAAATGGGAGAAGTTGTTGGAGAATTCGGTCGGCAAGAAACCGTGTACATGATCCAATGGAGCTGGATCACCCTCCATGCTCTTCTGATTGTGGGCGGCACCGCGTTCTACATTGCGACAATGGTTAGCGCTTCTCGAGCAGAAAAGGCCTTCAATTGGTTGGCCTGGAAGAATAGCTCCTTGGCTGTTTTGAGCAAGGCGTCTCAGCTCGGATCTTTGTTCGAGGTTGGTGACTCGGTCAAACAGCTGGAGCGCAAGGCAGAATTGAAAACAGCGTCGTTTAATAGTCTCGAAGGGGAGAGGTTGAACCCTCTGCGTGCCACATAAGGCAACGGTGTCCTTTCTCTAGAATGCCAGCACCGCACAGTATTAGAAAGACTGCAAAAGTTGTGAATAGCATTGATCGACGACCTCGCATATGAAGCGGAAAAGGTGCACTGTAAGCAGCATTCTCATCCAGGGTAACTACGGATGTAAAGTAGCGTCATGCATAGCACCCATGTGGGGACCTCGTTCGCGCTAGCAACTTATATTAATGCAACCTTGAAGCTGCCACCTCTTCCAGCCAACTCCACCATTATTGAAAAAGACGTCGCTCTACGACAGCGGTTGCCATAATCTCATCGAGCTTCATCTCGGCCAGTAGACCTCACTAGTCGATGTATCCTCAATCATTAATGCTGTCCGGCGCTTGAAGAATTTTCTGCACAATGTCTTCTGGAAACAAACAACGGGCGCCATCGGTGTTGGTATGCGACCTTGCTGGACACGGCTGCCCACGCACGATTGTTCAAGTTGCACAGCTCAAAACTGACGCCAATTCAGGTCACCGATTCGAGAGCCCGCGAGAGGGTCAGCCAGAGACGCCTGCCGCAGCGTTCCGACGCCCTGTCCCGCTCGCCGGGACGGGTGCCGATGCGGTTCATGACGGTCGACAACGTCCTGCAATTCAGCTCGCAGATCCCCTCAGGCCAACCTCGCGGCCCTCCCACGCCCTCAACCGGTCCCCACGCCGTCGGCCCTGTCCATCCGCGACGAGTCGTCTCCGGAGGGCTCCCCAACGTGCACTCGCGCACCGGCCAGCCCATGCCGTCGCGAACGACCAAGATTAGCGAGAAGCTGGTGCTGCTCCCGGAAACAGACGACCAAGACGAGGTCGAGGACGAGATTGAGAGCGACTCGGTGCTCACGCGCAAGCTACAGGCCGAAGACGATGGGCCGCTGCGCGACGAGGAGCTCGATGTGCTGCGCAAGCGCGGCGGCATCCGCGGCAAGAGCTACGCCGAGCGGTTACCCAAGATGCAGCGCAAGGACAAGGTCAGCCGGTTAACGGCGTACTGCACCGCGCAAGCATTTAAAATCAAAGCCACAGCCGAGTTCTTAAAGGACAAGCACGAAGCAAAAACGAAGCTCTACGATGACTGCTTGTACGTCATCTACGCGCTGCCGCTGATGAACGGAAATGACGGCTATCGTGTCCGCGGCCGGCCCATCCTCAAGACCCCTGGCACCGGCAAAACGGTTCTGGATCTGGAGATTGAGCGGACCGAACAGCGAGACCACCACGAAGGCTACTTTGAAGAGGATGCCTACACCGCACCGGAGAGTCCAGAGCAGCCCAGCCACATGCGCCCTGGCACGCGCGACGAGTCCCCCGACGACGAAACCGCCAACATGCACCACAGCTTCCGTCCGCATGGCGACGGCTCTCCGCCGCCCATCAACCGTCTCGGCGGGCCCAACGCCAAGAACTTTGCCGAGTTGTTTGTCTTTTCGTACGGCGTCGTTGTCTTTTGGAACTTTTCCGAGTACCAGGAAAAGGACATTCTCGCGGACCTGACATTTGCCGACGCCGCCGAGGACGGCGTCAGCCTGCTGACGCGGCCGCTTGAGCAGCACGATTTCGAGACGGAAGAGTTTCACTTTGAGTACAGCGCCGACGTGAAGCGCCCGCGCATCTTCAACGACATGATTACGCTGGTGCCGCGGTCCGACCACATGATCAAGCTGACCATCAGTCACGCGATTGCGCAGAGCACCAAGCTGTGCCTGTTCGAGGAGCGCCTGGGCGAGACGATGCTCGACGCGCAGGACGTGCCCAAGACGCTGGCGCTGACGGGCGAGCTAAACATGACGAGGACGGAGATTGTCAAGATTCTCGGACGGTTGTTCAAGAGCCGCGTGGATATCAATCTATGTACGTTGTCCCCCCTCTCCCTTCCCTCTTCAGCCACCGTCAAGTGTCGTAATCTTCATGAAACCCCGAAACTGACTACGCACCTAGCATCCAATATCCTCGACGTCCCCAACTTCTTCTGGGACTCGGAGCCGACTTTGCACCCGCTCTACGCCGCCATCCGCGAGTACCTCGAGATCGACCCCCGCATCAAGGTACTCAACGAGCGCTGTCGCGTCTTCCTCGACCTTGCCGAGATTCTCTCCGACTCGGTCAATGACGCCAAGATGAGCGCCATTACCTGGATCGTCATCATCCTCATCATCGTCAGCATTCTCGTCACCGTCACCGAGGTCGGCCTGCGCTTCGCCATGCTCGAGCGCAGCAAGTCGACGCCCGCGCTCGTCTCCTGGGCCAACCCGCCATCGTCATCGTCCTCGGTGCAGCTGCGCATCGGACTCGCGACGCCCGTGGAAGGGCAGCAGCAGCAACAACAGCTAGCAGAAATACCGAGCCCCCTCGAGGAACTCGCACGCACGCTCGGGTTGCACGGTAACGCGACGCTGGAGGATGTCAAGAGCAGCATACGCACGCTCCAGGATGAGGCAGGGACGCTGCCCGTGCCCGAGGGCAGAAAGGTCGACGAGCTCAAGTAAGAACTCGGCATTAAAAAAAAAAGAAAGGATGCGTGATTTACAATACTCTGATCCCAATTGACACAATGATGATATATCGCTGCGACCTTTGAGGAAACAAGCCATCATCTTCTTCACCCTCTCTGTATTGTGCGACCTCGCGTCGCAATATTTTTTTTTTTTTAGCATAGCGAGCGGTGTCTTTTTCTTTTCCTCATCTAATATATATTTGCTGCTCTCTTCAATGGCCGGCTACTGTTTGGAAATCAAAATGATGTAGCAATCGAGTTCTTCATCTTCTTCTAGTTTTCTTCGATAACAAGGCTCGAGTAAGAGCCCATGTAGTATTAAAGCGGTATATTCTATGCTCATGCATGCTATGCATAATGCGTCAATGAAATTAGTTCCCAGTGCCAAACTAAAAACTACAACAGGATACTCTGTACCCGTATATGCACTACTCATAGACAAGGAACGAAAAAAAAAGACTAGAAAATAATGTAGAGCCCGATGTTAAAACGCCAATGTAGTAACAAATGCCATGACTGGTGTCAAGGGTCGAGACCTGCTTGGCCCGCCGAGGATGAGACAAGGCCACAGTTTCTCTGGCTCCGTCTCGAGTATCGTAAGTCTGGATTGGCTACCGACATGATTGATATCGGGAGCAGCATGCCAAATAATTGCCAATTAGACTGCGGTTTGCGGTCTCTGCATATGGTAAAGGAAAGGTAATGGGGCCACAATTCGGTCCAAATGAATTATTGGGGAATCTGTTTGTAGCCAGTCTGCTGTCGTTTCTTGTTGTCGAGTTCTGCTTTGCTGTATATAGCGGCGCCGAGCATTGTAATAGCCATACCGGTGCCCTTGAGCAGGTCAACGTCAACATTGAAAATGAAGATGCCGAGAAGAACGGTCAAGCACTGCTTGAGGTTACCGCAGACAGTCATTGTCAATGCGCCGGCGAGCTTATTGGTATTGAAAGACGAAATGTTGAGCAGAAAAGCGAGGCAACCATTGCCTAGCAGAGACGCAAAGGTGGCAAAGCCCGACATTTCCGAGTTGGCTAGGGCCTGACGGAAGCCATCTACCTCTCCAGTCGCAAACGCAAAGATGAGTGCTTGCGAAGCAGCCATGGGGGACATTCGAAAAAGAAATTCGACAGGTGGAAGAGCGAGGGACCCCGTCATGAAGCGATTCGTGACAATAGTCTGGAAAAAAGTCAGCATGGAACCGGGCAATGCAAGAGGCCAGAACTGACCTTGAGGGCGGCAAAAATGACACCGAGAATTGTCAGCAGGAAACCGGCATCGGAAAACTTCATCTCGCCTGCCGTGGTCATGGCGGCGCCAACTATCAACGGAACCAAGGATAGGTAGGTGAGCGTGCTGTAGGTACGGCCGTACCAGGCACGGAAAATGAGAAGGGTAAAGATGGGGCAAAGCATGCGCATGGTCTGGTAAAAGGGAACGGAAACCATGGCAAGTGATAGGTTGGACAAGGCAATGTTGACAGTAAAGAGGGCGCTAAAGGCGACGAGGGCGAGGTTCTCACGTCGTCCCAGTCGAGAGAGTTTGAAATAGCCCCTGTGCATCATGCCGTAGGTACCGAGAGCGGAGATTGAGGTGTGAAGAAAGGTCAAAAGCCAGGGAAATTTGAACTAGAGAGCAAGACTTAGTAGCTGATGAAGGTCGAAGAAGGGTGGCGCATCACGTACCACGCCGAGGACTAATTTGTTATAGATGGTGAGTAGCAATGACAGCAGAAAGTAGGTGCCTAGCCATGTGAACTTGACGGCTGATGGGATTGAATATTCATGGTCAAGATTAGACTGGGAAGCAGCCTCTGAGCGGTCGAGGTTGGCTTCCATGTCGACGGCAGCGTCGTTTGGTGATGCAAGGCTCGGAGTTTCTTTGAGTAGGGGCGGCGAAGGTTCTGGAGATTGCAAAGACATCTTTGGCGCGCTGAGCGGAAACAAAATGGGAGCCAGGAACTGAGTTGTTGGAATAGGCGCGCAAAAGATTTTGAGTTCTTTGTTAGTGTTGCGCGTCAAAGATGGAGGCGCACAGGACAGAGAGTCGAGGTAGCCAGGCGTGGGCTTGCCAAGATCAGATTCAAGGGTGATGCGTAGCCTGGCCGGTGGCGCAGAGTTAAATCAGACGCGTCTGAGGTTGATAATGAGCGTGACGATCTATAAACGGAAGAAATCGTGGCGCAGGTTCAATTGAGGTCGATGTTGGGGAGCTTGGCTTGTGGGACGAGGCAGCATTGAACGGGGAACGTGTGGTGCGGCGGTTGTTGCATGTATATGGGACCAAAAGAGCGTGTTGGATATAATGCCGATAGTGTGATATAGAATGAAAGGAATAGGCGGAAACGAGCCCGCGCCAAGAAGACAAAATCTAATGCCAAAAAGATGGGTGAATTCGGATGATGTGGTAAGTAGTGAAGTTGAAAGCGCCGACGGAGGGTTGGGCGAAGAAGATGGCCTTTGCGTCGTAACTAACTAGGAGGGTTGTAGGAGGCGGGGGGAGGGGAGGCTTGGCAGGTGGCACAGGTAAGTTTCGGTAGTGGGAATAGGTAGCTGATACGTGAGAGAGTACGGATTGGAGGTAGTTGGAAGCTTGAGTGCGGGCAAAGACAAGGAGATATGTGATGGAAAAAAAACGTGCCGAGTCAGAGACAATAAGACTAGACCGGTCCGAGTATCATTGATCGTGGTCGTGAATCGTGGTCGTGATCGTTGGTGGGGAGCCGCGAGGCTGATGAGACTGGGGAGAGCAAGTGTGCGGTGGTGGAGGAAAGAAGTAGGTACCTCTAGATTCCGAGTGGCTCCGGAACAGATTGACATGAGGCCAGAATAAAAGACAGATTGTTAAGACATGCATCAAATAAACGGCATCAAGGGGTATTGATGTGGGCAATCAGGAGGGCAGCATGACAGAGAGCAGCATGACAACTGGTGTAATCACTAAATTTAGTAGGTAGGTATTTAGGTAGCTACCTTATTTTATGGTTGTGGCTCGAAGGTGAGTTGTCTTGTCTAAAAGGTACAGTGAGTTTTTAAATACCTAAAGAGACGGTGCAGGACAGAATTTGCGGGGGTACCTCGACCTAGCCAGCCAGGTACCTTAGTGGTCCCTCTGATGACATTTCCAGTGGATGTATTCCAGCCGTGGGCTGTCAAAAACCACCTCGTTAGCGGACATAGTGCCTGGAAATGCGAGGTAGCTATTTGCAGCCCTTCCAAAGGGGGTACCCCTATCAAACAGCGTCGAATACGGATTATATGTACCCAGTAAAGATTCTGATCAAGCAGCATAATAGCCGCATTCCTTGTCAAGTCTAGAAGCCAATTTTAGATTACACTACCAAGCCCTTGGCTATTGGCACCAGCCTTGGTACGGATACTTGTTGTGACCGTGACCAAGTATTTACACTGCTGTGTGGCACTGTGGCCACAAACAATACGGATTAGTGTATGCTCAATACCCAAGCCTTTTCACCATCATTTTTAAGCCATGATTTTAGCTTGTCTCTAGCCTGCAAGGTACGCGGCCCTTTTTTGATATGTACGTCACCGCAGATAATTTTTTGCTACTTGGTACCCGAGTCCACATCCCACCACACAACAACTTTAGCCACTCAATCATCATCACTCCGGCCAACTGAACGGCCTTTTTGTTTGTTTGCTCAAGGCCACGGCCGTTGGCAGCTGCAGCTGGCAACTGCAGCTGGCAACTGCAGCTGGCAAACTGCCAAAGTGGAACTGCGTATTGGAAAGTCAACAGGGAACTGCTTGACTGTGACGGACTTTTTAAATTTCCTCTTCTTGGCATTCGTATGAGTTTGCTAACGCTGCTCTTTCCTTGCAACGGCATCCCTTTATCCACTCTGCCACTGCAGCTTTATCTTACTCATCTTTCTCTTGCTAGTTACATACATACGCTTCGTCTTGTTCGTTCTTCAACACCCAAGCTAAAAATAATTCCCCCCCTTTTCTCCCGCCCTTTATCACGCTAATCGTTGGTGCACACGCAACCAACCCGCGCTCTATCCTATCCTATCAGTATTACGTCGGCTCTCCAACGCCACAGTTGCCCAGCTGCCACTTTGCTAGCCCGTGGCTGCCGACCCGGCGCCGGTCACCGTTGACCATGACGTGACACGTTTTTGACAATGTCCGAAGTTGAAAATCATTTATTCCCTGCGGCTCACTGTTCAAGCCACCGCAGCATCCGGCAGACCACATCCGGCAAGACGTCAGCTCATAAATACTCGGCCGTGACATTGAGGCCACAGCTTCTCGGCTACCTGCCGACTCCATCAGCTGTCTTGAACCCCCCCAAAAGACACCAATGAATAGCGAAATAGGTATTTACGCACACATCCAGCATTAAAACCGCCCCCACTGTAGACTGGATACATTAAGACCGTGATTCATATCTTCCTTGGTCATGACTGCACGCTCGCGATGCACCCTGTTGCCTGTCAAGTCGGTCGGTAATTGCTTCCTGGAGCTGACAACGAAATACGGCGGAAAACAAAGTTTAAGCTGTAAATTACCCTTCTCCAGTATCGCCAATCAGCGCCGACAATGATCCTGGCGCTGACCCTTCGAGAAGAATGTAGCGTCAAACGAATCGACTCATACATGCATTATTAGCTCCTGTCTAAGTATGCAAAGTGCGACAGTCTCTTTTGCACTCATCAGCACGCGGGGACCGACCGACTTCATCTGGTTGCGCATTAGGCCATCGTTTCATACTTGACCTCGGCAGACGCTGCACCCGAGAAATCCAAGACACACGGGCTTTGTCTTTTTTTTCCCCGACGACCAGGATGTCTCCAGTTTCTCGCCGCTTGGCCCCTGTTGTACTCCGTACTTTGCATGGTCAAATTCAAGCACATGAATTCAGAATGGGCACTAATCGTACCAGGATCTGGCACATTTCTCAGACAATCTGGGGGCGCAATTGTTTCCTTGCCACTGACGCTACCAGTAAAAATCATTCCGCATCCCCATCGGGGTTTGTCGGAAATGGGAACAAGCCATGGCCCATGGGCACCCGCCCCCGTCATCTCCATATCGCGTGCTCTTTCCCGGCCTGCCTGCCTGCCTGCCAAGCGTGGTTCTTCAGACCCCCCCCCCATACCCGGCTTTCTGCCCGGTTACTTTTACTGATGGACAAGTCGGGCTGCCAATTTATGCATACTTGAGATGCTTTTTGCGAGATGGTCTGTTGCTATCGCGCCCATGACCTGCGGCGGAAGCGTAACTTTGGGGGCTCGAAATAAGACGCTTCGCCAAGAACAAGAAAGACGGCCTGACAGTTGGCCGACGCATTGGCTGTAGCCCATTGGCGTAATGCCAGTTGCAACAAGTGGCCGCCAAGACTGCCCAAGCGAAGCCGTTGACAAATTGGCCGTGCCGGAGCTTATTCTGGCTGCAACGGACCCAGCGCCAGGAATTCTTGGCATGCATCTAGCTAGTGTTGCGGTCACCCCGTGCGCGAAACATCATACATGGCAGTCACAACGCGCACCGCTATTCCCGCCCGTGAGGCGCAGCTCTTCTCTTCAATGCATGCACGCTGCGATTTGGGTAGGCAAGGATGCTAGAGCCTAGTACATAACAACATACTGGTACATGGTGTTCCGTAAAATATGCAACTGATAAATCACAAGTTTTAGCCCTTCTTGGCTTCTTGGCGGTTTCTCGTTGGCCATGCTAGTCCCACCACTAATCAATCGCTTGCCTAGCACTAGGTAGGTAGATACCACTGAGTCACTGACCACTTGGCCACTGGCCACTGACCACTGACCAGTAGTTTGCGCATGAGCCAAAAGCAATTGGGGAGACTCGATCGATGCGTTCAAGCCCTTGCTACCCGCACGGTTGCAACTCTTGAAACCCAATACACAGAAACGCTCGCAAGGCCAGCATGGTAACTTGAAGGGACTGGCTCGAACCGCCGGAAACATTTAGACATGTTTGATAAACTTGTTGGTCAAAGAACACAACACAACCCTGGGGTTAGTGGCAATACAATACTGTTCTTTGTCAGAGAACCCAACCATAAGAGATTCATGGTTGAACCCAGCTGGGCCTCGAGCGACGGGAGAGTCTGTTTGTTTACTGGACCACAGCAGCAAATACGTGCGTCCCTAGTTATTAGTACCTTACAGAAGCGGCAACGCCGGCCAGTTGTACGGATATTTACGAGAAACTACTGGACGTTAAAAGTCAACCCAAAAGTGTGGATGGATGTGCGCCACATAGAACTCTGTATCTACTCGGTTACCAACAGTGAACAGTTTCAACATTTACTTGTGGGGCTTGCGCCAATGTGCCTTTGGATATTCCAAGTCGTTTCCAGTTTTAATCAGGAGGAGACTGGCCGCCCCCGTTTCTGCGTTTCTGCGTGGGTTGCCTCTAGGCTCACACCTTCTCACACGCCCCAGCAGAACATGCTCGGTCGGCGGGAACAAGCAAGCAAGCAGATAGGAGAGTTGAGTAGGCAGGTAGGCACGTAGGTAGCTTGGGCCGTCAATCCTGCCATTCATGAGCATTCCCGCCATGATTACTCTCCCTACCTACAGTTGGACAGACGCTACCTTACCTACGCATACACACACGCAGCGAGTTCCAACTTGGCTTGACTCGCTCTAAGCACCCCACGACGTGTCAGAGTAACTACTCATTATTTAGTTGGATCGACATTCTTTTACTTTGTTCATTCCTCTCATTTATACGGATAGCAGAACCATTCATTTTCTTTCTTGTCTCTCTCTTTTTGGGTTTTCATACATTTTGGGAAAAGCAATCACAATGCCCAGCATGGCCGTCTTTTCAGGGAAACGGCGCGTAATACTGCTCCCTGCGCTTTTGTTTCTTTTCCTCTTTACACTTCTTGCAGTTGATGAATCCTTGAAACCGGTACGCATTTTCAATCTTTGTCCGGTAAAGGAGAAATACCAGGCGAACTACTGGACTTACAAGTTTGATAGGGCCGTTTCAGCAGAATCATCACCAACAGGCCGACGACGTCGCCAGAGTCAAGGCCAAAATCTCGAGTATCTTCATTCCACTATCTCGTGCCCGCAAGCTCTCCAAATATCAAATTATGCTACAACATCATTTCTGCAGCTGTCAACAGATATCCAGCAGCGCTGCTTCTCGGCTGGAAAGGCAAGGGCGAGATGGACGCCGCCGAGACGCATCTGGCCAAGCTGCGCGCCATTCAGCAATACCTCCAAAATCTGTCAGCGGACAACGACGACGATCTGGTGCTCATTGTGGACGGCTACGACATTATTATGCAGCTCCCTGTTGAGATTATGATTGAGCGCTACTTTACGATTCAGAGAGACTCGGATGCCCGACTCGCCGAACGCTTCAACATGTCCGTCAGCGCGCTGCACGACAAAGGCTTTCGCAACACCATCTTTTGGGGCCCAGACAAGATCTGCTGGCCCATAGACTGGTCCGCGCCGAGGTGCTGGGCCGTTCCTGCTTCGCATCTCGATGCCCACACGTTTGGCCCCAACCAGGGCGACGGCGGCATGGCCACCAATGACCCCAAGTGGCTAAACTCTGGCACCGTCATCGGACCCGTGGGCGATTTACGAACGTACATCAACGTCACCATGGCCGAGATTGCGCGGACCTACGACGCCAATTTTGAAAACAGAGAGTCGGACCAGTATTATCTGGCCAACGTCTGGGGCCGGCAGGAATACCACCGCTCCAAGGAGGTGCTGGCGCTTCGCAGCGACGTGGATGACGAGGCTGCCGCGAAGCTCGAGGGGAGCGACGAGTTCAAGCTGCCAGATCCGCTGGCATTTCCAGGCGAGCCGACGGAATTCCACATTAGCATCGAGTACGAGTCGGCGCTTTTCCAGACCAAGGCGGGCTACGAATGGTACTTTGGACACATGAAATTTGACCAGCCCGGCTACACGGCACGGATGGATGTGGACATGTTTGAACAGGGTACGTCATTTGTGCCTTATTCAATTGCAATGCCCGCTGCGGTGTACGCGGCCTTGAGCAGGATATATGAGGCGGCCGTTAAGCCATCGTCGGCCGCTCGCCAGGCTGTCTCAGAAGAAGAAGAAGAAGCGGCGCCGCACCGGAGCCGACGCGAAGCCACCGCCACCTCCAGCCGCAGCCGACTACCCGCGAGCGAGTGGCTCCGCTCCGCCAGTCTGGGTGTCAATTACGTGACGCGTCACATCTACGGCCTCTGGCACTGCACGGGCGGCAAGGAGTTCATCGACGGCGAGTACAAGGCCATGTGGTTCTTTCCCTATGTTGCCAGCTTGCTGCGCGCCAACGCTCTCGCCTCGCGCGCCGGCGACCAGCTCACGAGCGCAGAGATGGACGGCCGCGCCTGGCTGCCCCAGCTGCAGTATCCCGTCGAGGACTCGCGGAACCCCATGGAAGGCGGCGAGTACGGTGGCGCCTTTACCGACTATGAGGGCGAAGAATTCTTGTCGTTTGGGCAGCTGTGCGGCGAGTGGCAGGACACGCTGTTTTCAGGCGAAATGGACGCCGTCGCCGCCAGAGAAGAAGGCAGAAGCTAACCGCAAAGCCTGAATAATGAAATGAGGAAGAAAACGAATCGAAGCCAGCTATGTGCAGTGTAATTTGTCCTTTCTTCTATTTTCCGTTTGGAAACCATTACACATCTGGCACCGAGGGCAGTGTTATGGGGGAATCGTCCGCTCTGCTGTCTCATCTGCGGCGCTGCGCACTGCTGCATCTTGGTTTTCGCATGTACCACCACTACCTACCCCCGACAACCGATCAAAATCACTTGCATATCATATCAAGCCAAGTTTCTGTTAATTTTTTTTCTCTCTACCGCGTTTATCGAGATTCGCCATTTAGAGCTAGAGATTCGGAAAATCTTTCCACTGATCATTACCATCATAGCCATAAAATACCATGATAATACATACCATGCCACAAGTTCACATTAGCTATCGATGCAAACGTGACATATCAAGACCGAACCAGCAGTAAGTTCGTGAATGATTGTGAAAAGAGATGGCCAGTGTATCTAGGGAGCGATGGATATGTAGTGAGTGTAGTTTGGTAGTGTTTCCACATCCGTCTCATTGCTGCAGCATATGCAGGCCTAATTCGCCGTTGTGTGTCTCAGTCACATCGGAGCTAATGTAGCAATGACGCTACCACACAGCTCATCGAAAAAACACTGACCACGCCGCGTCCCCCCTTTGCGCATTCCCATTCTTCCTCCTGTACGATTCCAAAAAAAATACAGCACGATGCCGCAGACCCTCGGTCCCCTCGTGCACCTCTGGGGCATCGACCCCTCGCAGCTCCCCGCGCCAACCGCCTCTGCCGCGGAGCTCACGCCTCTCCTCACGGGCTTGCTGTCCGAGGCGCTGCCCTTTATCGACGACCTGCCCGCCGACTCCTCCTCCTCCCCTTCTTCTTCTTCTTCTGCCTCCAAGTCGCCGCCCTCCTCGTCCTGGAAGTTCCGCAAAACGCACAGGTACGCCTCGTCCGACGCAACCGTCGACGTCTACGAGAAGAAGCTCTCCGCCGACGTCATGCGTCGCCTCGCCACCGAGTACCAGTCTCAGCTGCCGCAAGTGCGTCCGCCGAGCGGCGCCGCCGCCGAGACGTGGTTCTTGCGGCGCAGCGTGCACGCCGACGCGGCCGCCCCCAAAACAGCCAGCTGGGACGAGTTTCTCCTCCACTTTAAGCAGCAGCACGCCGCGTCTGAAAAGGCCTTTACCGCGTCGGTCGAGTCGACGACGCCGCGCACGCAGTGGGACTGCGGCGGCGTCGAGATCCAGCACGCCGGCGCGACGTGGGTCGACTGGACGCTGAAAGTCGAGGAGTCGGTGCACCGGCTGCCTTTCCCGCTGAAGCGGCGCGTGTTCCCCGTGCTGCAGGCGACGGCGGCCGTCGCGGACCGCCGCGAGTTTGTCGTGGTACAGGTGTTTTATACGGGCGGGCCGGACGCGGCCAACGCGGCTGGCGGCGGTACGGTGACGGGCGCGTATACGAGCGTCGAGCGCGTCCGGGAGCTATCGCCGGGGGAGGAGGAGGAGGAGGACGGAACGAAGCGGATCGAATGGGTCATGGGCACGGCGTCGGACGCGCGGGGCGTGCTGCCCGAGTTTGTGCAGGCGCTGGCCACGCCGGACATGGTGCCCAAGGATGTCGACTTTTTTCTGTCGTGGGTGGTCGGGCAGCGAAAGTAGAGGGCTCGGGGGAGAGGGGAGGGGGGGCAAGGAAAGCTTTGACGTGATGTCACTTTGATGTATCTTGAAAAGGGATATCGCGTTGGAGCGTGCTGGAGGAGGGGGGACTGTAAGTTGGCAAAAAGGGCCGTTTTTGTTCTGTCGGCTGGCAGACGACGGCTCAGGAAGGAACCCGGCAAACGACAAACGACAAACGGCCCATCCCCGTCTCCTACTAGAAACAATATCATCATTCTTCCCATCCCTCTCCAACTCATCTCCAATGCTATCCAACCAATTCAGACACCATGTCCACTAGACCTCGATCCGTACCGCCCGCCTCAACCTCCCGCGTCACCCGCAGCCACGCCGCCGCCGCCGCCGCAACTGCCTCCTCCTCCTCTTCTCTCATCGCCGTGCACCGTAGCAGCACCATCACCGCTGCCAAATCCACCAGCACCGATGCCGCGCCGCCCACCTCCACCTCCGCCACCACCACCGCCGGCGCCTCGCGCCTCGCCGCGCAGGCCGACGCCCTCGCCAAGATGACGCTCGAGATGAACCTGCGCACCGTCGGCAAGCAGGCCGACCGTCTGGAGCGGGACCTGCGCGTCCTCGTGCAGGCAACGGCCCGCGACGCCGCCTTTCGCGCGCAGCACGAGACCCGTCTGCAGGACCTGTGGAAGGAGATTCTCGCCGTCAAGGCGCACCTGGCCGCCGCGCGCGACCGCGACGATACTGCCCGCGGGCTCGCTGACGAGGCATGCCGGAGCGAGGCGCGGCGCCTGGCCGAGGAGATGCGCGGCGAGATGGCGGGTGTCAAGGAAATGGTCAAAGGTCTGAGGACGACGCTGAGCGAGTTGCCGTCGGCGGAGCAAATGCAAGCCGCGCTGAGCCAGAGCAGCGTGGACACGCAAGACAGCGGTGCGTCTTACCCTTTTTTTTTTCATCCCATCACATCATGTTGGGGAGGTTGTTTCAAGACGCTAACGGTGACTCCAGATCCGAATACTCGGCGAACAACCAACCAGCAGCAGCAGCAGCCGCGATCAGCGTCGAAGCAGTCGATACACGCGCGCATTCAAGATGCCCTCCGGTCAACTCGTCGCTGGCACCGCGACCACAAGACGACGCGCCTCTCCGACGCCGCCTTTTGCGCCGCCTATCTCCGGCAGCAGTCCAAGCGCGACGCGCCCATGGCCGTGTTCCTGCAGCGCGCCGTGCAG